CTTCTCCTCTCTGTCAACGCTCTCTGGTTTCATTTAAAAGAGTCGATCATCAGATATTGTCCAAGATTAACCTTCAGGGTGGATATAGCTCGCTCACATCGAGGACATATCTACGTTATCATTTACCCAGAGTTGTGTGTAAATAAAATGGCTCTGTCTGTGTTAAAATATATTTTTAAAAATTTACAAAACGAAACAGCCTACAGTATTTTTACAGTCTTTATTTTACAGTTAAAATATATGTTTATCAAATAAAGTCTAATGTTACAACTAATCAGGGATCCCTTTAAGGTTATCTGTCATATAGGGTTACATGACTGAACAAACACATATCGGCCATCACAGACTGGAGTCTACCAAGCAATAGATTTTTGTTGTTTTGGACATGGGGACTTTGGCATCTCCCACAATTGGTATTGTGTATTTTACTTTAAAGCTTTGTCAAAACCAATCATTACAGATGCATGTTGATTTACTACAGACCTTAATGAGGTGGTCTCTTGATAGAAGAGTGAGGAGCTTGGGGAAATGCCAAATAAACAGAGCGGTGAAGTTTGTTGGCCAAATAATCTGTTATCAATCAGTCAATTTATATCGGCCATCTGAATTATTAGGCCTATTCTACTTTCCTGTATTAAAAGGTTGCTTTACCACTACACATCTGTTTACCTTTTTGAACACCTTCCCATTGCTCTGTCGCTCATCTTCCTCACTGATCACCTCTCTTGTACCGAGACAGTCTCTGCTGGGGAACCTCATSGCAGAGTACTCAAACATCTTATCCAGAGTGTCCACTCCTGGGTGCAATGATGTAACAAGTTTCTTTGTAGCACTCAGGGTTCTGTAGGGTCCTTCTGGACGGCCCATGATGGATCGAGCCTTAGTTCTCTTGGCTCGTTCCTCCTCTGAGCCATAGAAGTCCCCATCAGATCTGGACCCCCATCTGAGGATGTATGAAGGCAGGAAGGTGACTGTGGTGTAGAGCCACACTATGAGGTAGAAAAGAAGCACCAGCAGGGGGTTCAGGTCTTGTTTCAGCTTCATTTTGGTGTATGTGTGAGTCACAGGGATGCTAGGGGTGTGGAGAAAGATACAACCACAACTGTTCCTGCTTTATCCACTCCTTTCTTCTTTAAGGTCTGAGTTCCCTCTCTGGAAATAACACTTGTGAGTCCTAAAAAAAAAAGAGATTAACCTCATGTTAGAACAGCAGCTTAATCATTCAATTTTATCCAGTTTTACAACAAAGCATATGCTCAAGTCTTAATGTTTTGCAACTCACTCAATAACAAGCAGGAAGTCAAATCCAGACACAAACTATTGTTTTTGACAAAAAACGTGTTTTAAAATGTGTTCAAACACCAAGTTTAAATGCTTTTGTCCTCTCTGAAAGTAGAGATGAAAATACTTAGAACTATTTATCACAAGTATTCACAGGCTCTYTCTGGTGCTACCCATTTGTTTTGCTGTATGCAGCCAAGGTTGTTAAAAAATTTTTAAATGATTCAATGTAATCTTTTCAGCCTTCTCCTCCTCAGTGGGCTCTGATGATGTTAGAGATGCTTCACTTTACAGAATTAGTCGAAACAAAAAMAAAGAAAGAAAGCAGCGGGTTTCCAGTCTCACTCTGTCCTCTCTGGAGGGTTTAGAATCATGACATTATTTAGGGCCAGTATTATGTGTTTCACAGGCATATAGTTCAATTATATACCAAAATAAAGTAACTATGTCACCTTCAGTTGTTATGAAAATGTTGTTCATTTGTAAAAATCAAAAAATTTATTTGACTTCGCATCATAGCTGTTTCTAAATGCCTTTAAATTGGCCTTCTCTTTAAAACCATGCCGTTTCTGTCACGCCCATTTCTGCATGTCATCACAACAGCTTTATGCCATTTCAGTGTTTCCCCTACCATTATACAGGCGGGCCTGTATTAATCTTGTTAATAGTCCACTGGTAAACTCCTTTTGTTCAGAAATCTATCATCTGTAAAGTGGCTCGCACAAATATAACAACTGTTTTTCCTTGGAGGGTTGGTTACATCCAAAATTGATCTCCAACCATTTTTAAGAACCGTGCTATCCATGAGAAGCTTAAAAAGAGGGTAGTTTACTAGGRATCTGAAAAAACATTTCCTCAAAGGTATTTTTTTTATTTCAAAAGGGACTGAAATGAGAGCATTACGAGCTCAGCAGACGTGCAGTTTCACCAGTTGTTTGATAGTTGTTGCTGCTGACAGCCTGCAGGAGTCGCGGTGGAGGTGTGCTCTGTAATGAGGAAGCTCGGCTAAGACACAGCCCAGAGGAGGAGCTGCACCTAAAAGGCTATTCTAGAGCTAACCAGCTGTTTTTGTTCTCCTGAAAAACTACCACAGGTCATTACAGGATTTGACAAACATGCATGAATGAATCAATGCAAGCCTCGGGGTATGTTTTTGATGAGGGGATGATGTTATAACATGATATAAAGCTCAAAAAAGTTGATTTTACATGATACTGCCCCTTTAAAATTATTTGAGCTTCTTTTATTGAGAATTATTTTTATTGAATCTGGGGCAAAAAGCTAATTTCAGATCTTCTCAGTTTAAATAACAGTCTTATCTACGTTCAAATCCTTCCAAGGCCCTACAGATTATTTTTACAGATGATTGCTAAGACCTATTAAAGAGGATAACAGTAGCTGCAAAATAAACTATATGAGTGAGAGGATCATCTAGCTTGCTGAAACATCATTTTGTTTTCCTTCAAATACAAAAAGTACCTTCCAATTCCAAAAAGTCTCTTCATCAGTGCTGTGGCTTTGCAGTTAGCCTCTGCTCGCTGGATTAATTAATACTGTGGTATGGACTACGTAGTGGTGGGGTGAGCCACCGTGTGTGTTTGTGTGAGTGAATCTTTGCTTCCTGAGGAGATTGTGTGAATGGACTCTTTTGTGTGCAGATGTCGTTGCTGTGACACCCACTCAGCTGAGCGGGCCGGCCCAAGTCTGGCAGAACCTTCAACATGGCCATTGTGGAGAAGATGATGCAGCAACGTATGAGCTGGACCCCCGAGGTCGAAGCGGGGTCTGCGATTGTGTTGCAGGACAAATCTGCCTATTTGAAATCATGACATAATCAGAAGCTTGCAAAATAACCGTAGAAATTTCACTGGGATTTCATTAAGTACGAAAAACACAGAACACGATTGTTTAGATTATGTGGATTATTCTGCAGCTTTACTTAGCATTTGTGAGCTCACAGTGTCACAAACATTTCTGACGTAAGTTTCCTCACAGCTTCTAAACTGGATCTAAAACTGCTAATGCCCCAACTACATCAGAATAAGAACAGCAGACAAATTAAAGATATTTTCCCCATTTTTTTCCCTTAAAGAGATCCATGATTAGTTTTAAAATTAGACTTTATTTGATAAACATATATTACTGTAAAATAAATACTATAAAAATACTGTAGGCTGTTTAGTTTTGTAAATTTTTAAAAATATTTTAACACAGATGGAACCATTTTATTTACACACAAAGCATTCTGGGTAAATGATGACGTGGATAGGTCCTCGGTGCGAGGCAGCTATATCCACCCTGAAGGTTAATCTTGGACAATATCTGATGATCGACTCTTTTAAATGAAACCAGAGCGTTGACAGAGAGGAGAAGGTAGAAATGACTCAGCCTGGAACTGAAAATATAGATGGAGGACAACAGAGCTGCTTCATGGAAGAAGAACCTCAGATTAGCCTGTTAGCTTTAGTGTTAGCCCAGACGCTATCACCTAGGGGTGGGAATCTTTTACTGTCTCACGATTCGGTTTGATTCAGATTTTTGGGGTCATGATTAGATTCAAAATCGATTTTTTTTCATTCGAAACTCAATGTGAGCCCTTTTGTTGTGTTTCTAAAGTACTTCATCTTCATTTTGCAAATTTTGCACACAGTCATGTCAAACTCAGACTCATTCAGTAAAAAACAAAATGAGCCCAAATCTTTGCATTCAATAAAAACAGGGTCAGTTGAACCTCCCTTTCCTCCAGTTTTGTAGTTTCCTCTTTGTTTTGGTGCTTTCTGCACATGCATTCATTCCAGAACCAGCCAGCCCCATGTGAGGTCAGGACATCCCAAGTGGTTACAAAATGGAGGTTGACAACCTTTGGGGATGCTTTTCTGCAAAGGGGACAGGACGACTGCACCATGTTGTGGGAAGGATGAATGGGGCCATGTATCGTGAGATTTTGGCCAACAACATCCTTCCCTCAGTAAGAGCACTGAAGATGGGTCGTGGCTGGGTCTTCCAGCATGATAACGACCCAAAACACACAGCCAGGGCAACTAAAGAGTGGCTCCGTAGGAAACATCTTAAGGTCCTGGAGTGGCCTAGCCAGTCTCCAGACCTGAATCCAATAGAAAATCTTTGGAGGGAGCTTAAAGTCCGTGTGGCCCAGCGACAGCCCCGAAACCTGAAGGCTCTGGAGGAGATCTGTATGGAGGAGTGGGCCAAAATCCCTGCTGCAGTGTGTGCAAACCTGGTCAAGATCTACAGGAAACGTCTGATCTCTGTAACTGCAAACAAAGGTTTCTGTACCAAATATTAAGTTTCATTTTTCTGGTGTATCAAATACTTATTTCACACAATAAAATAGAAATTAATTATTTAAAAATCAAACATTGTATTTTTCTGGATTTTTGTTTTAGATTCCATCACTCACAGTTGAAGAGTACCTATGATAAAAATTACAGTCATCTACAAGCTTTGCAAGTGGGAAAACCTGAAAAATCAACAGTGTATCAAATACTTGTTCTCCCCACTGTATAACTTACTGAAAAGTAYTTTTAAAGTGATTCTATGACCTGAAATTTTAACTTCAATATCAAGATAAATAAAATGAACGAAATTCTAAATTCTAAGTCATCTACAAGCTTTGCAAGTGGGAAAACCTGKAAAATCAACAGTGTATCAAATACTTGTTCTCCCCACTGTATAACTTACTGAAAAGTAGTTTTAAAGTGATTCTATGACCTGAAATTTTAACTTCAATATCAAGATAAATAAAATGAACGAAATTCTAAATTCTAAGTTCAAATGATTAAAGGGTGAACATTTTGTAAACATCTTAAACATTTCATGGTTAAATGTCTTTTAGCCTACACTTGCCCCTCAGCTGGGCAACTCCTGTTGTTTGGCCTTCAGGATCTTTGGCCTTGGCTAAACCAAGATGATGAACAGAGAATTATGATTAACAGCAGAAACATTATTTATAAAATGAGAAAAAGCTTTTTAAAATAATGAAAATAACATAACATGAAAAAGTCTTAAATTTAATTTGTATTGGTTGAATTGTATGTATCTCTAACTTAAAAATTAAGCTGTGTAGTCATAAAACCATTTTAAGAACCTGGAACGTAACTGTGGTCAAGCCAATTATATGTAACAGCGGATTGCCATACAGGTGAGTTTCGTCATGCCTCTGGAGTGATCTGCTGCTGTGCTCCCAGAGCAGAGAGCCCGATGGACTTTACTACTGAGACTTAAGAGCAAGCAACCATCCACATTTAATTTCCACAGTTAACAACAAAAAAGAAAAGATTTTCCAACTATGGTTTGAAAAAAAAAAAAACACGGTTGATTCAATGTGCGTCAGAGCGCGTGTGTGTGCGAGCATGTTTTTGCTTCACGGAGGGGACAATTGGAAAGTCGGCTGAGGGATACCGACCCCTCCCAAAAAATGAACCACAGAAAAAAAGGCAAATACGATGAGTAGTTAGTGCTTCGTTTGTGCGTGTTTGTGCACTTGAAATTGCTGTTTGTGCTGCTATGGTTTTTTATATATTAAAGATTATTTGTAAGTGTCATTCAAGGGTCACCACACCACCCGCTCACTCCAAAACGAACCAAAAATGAACCAAACTAGTCAAATTTTGTAGTGCTTTGTTTGAGCAGGTTTGTGCCGTTGAAACAATTGTTTGTGCTGCTAAAGTTTATGGGTTATTACACATTATAATTTCGGATGATCACGTGACTTGGRCTGAATTGTTTACGTCTGTGACAACAGGCCAAATCACGTGATCGTCCGAAATTATAACTTTGGCGGATCACCGTCAGCTCGCTGCTCTGCACCACCGTGAGGAGCCAGTGTAAATACTGTCCTTGATTGTAATGGTTGAATATTTACTGCAGAGGTCGACCAGAGCAGAACAGTAAATTGAGGGTTAAGTTCTATCTTCAGGACCCAGACTCACTACCCTGGGTCCCAAGGGCCGGGGGCGTGCCACCCTCCCAGCCCCCCCTGAAGGTCCGCCCCTGCCAATAAGACTCTCTCCATGTTTATCCGTTTGAACATTAAATATCTTGTTTTTGTAGTCTACTTAATTGCTTATAGGTTGAAAAGGACTTGCAAATCATTTGTCCTGATGCATCTCAGTAATCCAGGTAAAAAAATCAAAATAAAAAAAAAATTGTATAGGTCTTCTGGACGGGTTCTTCTCTAATGAAACGTTTCGTCTCTCCTCCAAGAGACTTCTTCAGTCTGAGAGTTTCAGGCAAAATTCAGGCTTTTAAGCCCTGCCTCCATGTGACTGATACTCACARCACATGGCTATCGTTGACACCTAATTAACACCTATTGTTAACAGGGGTGGAGTGATACTGGCAATAGCCGCGCTGTAGSAGGGGGACAYCTGAAAACGGAGGCCCCCACCTCTGTTTAATGATGGACGGTCTTTCTTCACAAAAATGGCTTCTTTTACTCCTCTCTCAAACCAACGTTCCTCTCTATCAAGAATGAGAACATCCTCATCTCTGAAAGAGTGACCGCTGGCCTGTAAATGAGTGAAAACTGCAGAGTTCTGGCCATTAGATGTAGCTCGTCTGTGCTGGGACATTCTTTTGAACAGTGGCTGCTTTGTTTCCCCGATGTATAACTGGTCGCAGTCCTCCTGGTACTTAACAGCATATACAACACTGTATCAGTCACACGGAGGCAGGGCTTAAAAGCCTGAATTTTGCCTGAAACTCTCAGACTGAAGAAGTGTCTTGGAGGAGAGACGAAAAGTTTCATTAAAGAATAACCCATCCAGAAGACCTATACAACTTTTTTTCTTCTCGCAAATKATTGTTTTCTGTTTTTATTTATGTTTTACACAACATCCCAACTTCATTAGAATTGGGGTCGTACTGTGGGGTTTAAAGTGTGAGATTGCTATTGATTCATTTAAAAACAAACACCACAATGCAAAGTATTCCACCTGCTTGTTATGCTGCTTACCTGCTCATGTCAACACTGGGCGAATGTGCAGAACAAAAATTAACTTTTGTGTCAAAGTATGCACCTTAGATAAATACCAAAAATATGACCGAGTTTATGACACCTATCAAAGGTCAGACATGTACCATTGTGTAATTTAGATCAAATCACCACAGCGGTCTCAGCAGTGAGCCACAGATGTTCCAGCTGCAATAACATTTCAGGAGACCAACCAGTTGTAGCGCCACAGCTTCCGGGTTGGAGCTCCAAATTAAAACACGTTTGCCAGAGTTTTGGACTAAAATCATCTTGTGCTGAGAAATGATGAAGCAGAAGCTGTTTAGGTCAAACACTACTGAAAATATCATTATGACCAATCTCATGCAGCAATGTGTCAGTGACTGTCAGCTACAACCACATCAAATGTCAGCTCATTTACTCTAAAACTGATGGAGTTAGAGCCTTTTTTGTGTTGGCTCATCATGACAATGAAAGTGATTGATTAAAAATGTACATTCAAAGTTTGATTGGTTCATAACATATTCTCCTAATATTCAAACATGGGTGACTTGAGTTAATGATCAAGTTTTAAGCAAAGGTCTCGGGCAGTAAGTCACTGAGTGATGCTCAGCTACTACCATATTAATTACCTCAATATTTGTCAAATGGACTGACTCAAAGCTGTTTTTGTGTTCTTTCAGTCAGCTGTCCGTGGTGACCATCTTTGATTGTGCTGGCTCTGAATGAACATTCACGTAMAATTCCATGAAAGTGTAATTAAAGTCTGCTGTGTGCTTAATAAGATCTTTGAAKACAGGTTAGGTAAAATTATCGTCATCCTTCACGTTCTGTTGGTAAGTAAGAACAGCTGGAAACCAAGTCCAACCTTCAAAACAAAATGTTAAAGAGAAACTTGTCTCATCCAGCAGGAACCAAACGATGAACTCACCGGGAATGTTTCCTCCCTGCGGTGCTCACTGGGTTTCTCTGGGACACTTTCAGCCCGTTGGTTCCGGTTCTGGTTCCGTTCATTCACCGCCCTCTGCCTCTGCCTCTGCCTCTGTCTGTTTGTGAATGCTGCGCGAGCCCGGCYGTGCCACGCGCCTTGTGCTCTTGAATGAGAAGCTCAGCTTGAATGAGAGAGGGCTCTCCCAGCYCCGTGATTGGGCTCGCGGAGGTGGCGCGTGGAGGCGGCCGGTCAGAGAGATGATGGAAGGAGCTGAGTGAAGCTGACACCCCACCCACACATAAAATCCAAGCAAGTAAGCGGATTGGTATGGAAGCCCATTTCAAGTTCAAGAGATACAAGTTTTATTTATTTTTTTATCAGGGTGGCAGAAATGGGCTTCCAWAGATTGGTTAGTGCTTCGTTTGTGCAGTTAAAACGAGCGTTTGTGCTATTATAGTTTTTGAGATATTTTCTGTTTCAYTTACAGGCGATCACATGACCTGAATTATTTACATCATTACCCGAGGGTAACAGGTTTATTTAAGACAATATAAGTAGTAAGAGCTGGTTCCTGTAGATGGCGGTAATACACCAAATGGATGTAATCTGCAGATAACAGAAGAATGTCTGGAAAAAAGAAAAATGGCCACCTGCTGACTGTTCTGCACATACCTTGACGTGAACTGATGTCTGTGTTCTGAGACCATGATAGTTTTATGTTATAACTTATAGCTAAAGTAACTAACATCTGATGCTGTTAAACTATTGCAGTTTCTGTATGACTTTTTCAATAAATTTTAAGAAAGAATTTGGTGTAATCTTTTTAGTAGCTTAAATGAATTGCATTTCAAATGCATTGTTTTTATTTTGTCAACCACACTTCTGCTTTACTATATGTATATAAACTGAAACAGCTGGACTAGTGCATCCTAAATTTAACATCCATTCATTCTTTTAATACAACAGTCATTTCTGCAGTTTTTGGGGGAGGTCACCTCCTAATAAATGTCCTTACAGAAAATCTAACTGCTCATTTTAAATCTAGACTTTGACTTTTAATACTTAACTACAACAAATATCTGATACTTTAAGACATTTACTCAAGTAATATTCCTAAAGGAGACTTTAACTTTTACCAAAGTAAGTTTTTGATAAGATACTTGTACTTTTACTCGAGTATCACTGTGTGGTACTTTATACAACACTGTTCACACCTGATGGTAATTTGCTCTTGACAAATGAAGATATGAATTTACCTTACAGGTGTGTCTTTTGAGACCACTCGTCCCCGACTCTCTGCRGTACTTGACTGAAACTAAGCACGTCTGACAAGCGGCATACAGCGTGTTAACACGTCACACTCAACTCTCACAAACTTCTGTCATATTTGCGACTTTCCTGCCAATTCTGTGAGCTTTAATGGAAAGATCGTTACTTCTGACTTCGCGTTGCAAATCCACTGTAACCACATGGGTTTCTCCGCTCGGTATAATGTAATATGCTAACAGGGTTGAGCCACAACAGTAGAAGAAAATCGTCACAATTTTCACATTTTCACCCAGATAAAAGGCCAAAACAACAAACGATATCGGCTTTCATGCTCTTTTAAACGCTTAAAAACTAATCAAACACAGTCGAAGCTGTAAAGTTAGCTTAGCTAACTGTTTAGTTACATTACCCGCCCTCCGTTTCTGCTGCTCTTTGCAAGCAGCGGCCGGAAGTACCGTTGCCTTCTGGGTTTTGTAGTTCTTTTAACTTGCGTTTCAGCGCAAGCTGGTGGAAAGAGAACTACAAAATAGCGACGCCTGTTCTACGTTTTTTTTGTCCCGCTCCTGTTAACTTTTCATCCAAAAATCGTCCCAATCAAATAATAATAATAATAATAATAATAA